TTTAAGTAAAATTTAAAGACATGAGCACACGTAATACAACGTTAAAGAAACGCAAACGATTTTAACAGAGAACCTAATAGAACATCGATTAAGATCTAATATTTCTTTTTTGATAATCTCATCAGGTGCAATCAACACAGTACATTTCCCTTCCTAACAATTTAACTCTGTTTGTCTGTAGTAAAGGAACGTTGAAATACAAGGTATATCGTAAATATTTATGAGGGAAATGTAATTAACACAATAGGAAGTAGATATCTGATCAACTCGATGACAACAAGAATTACTGCTTGCTACTTTGATATTTTTTTCAAACGAAACAATAATCCATTAAAAGTCAAGGTTAAAAATTGTATCAGCGATCGTGTACAAAGAATTTTTCTTGGAAAGGACCGGTGAAACCGAACGCGTTTCAACGTTTGGAAAAATCGCGTTTCAAAAAACATACAAGTCAAGATGATATCGATTAATTAAGGCTCATCACGTTCAGTTTACATTATCACGTTTTCTCAAGTCTTGTCGCGATCGAGATGAAGATTGATTGAATGAGACGGCTTCTCGTGGCTATTGGCTGTTTCTCTACTTTAAGTGATTGCGTTATCTTGACAATATTGAAACCAGTCATTTTTAACTAACTTACTACGAAACTAATTATTTCATTGAAATGAACTCTTTATAGCGACTAAAGTATACGATGTATAATAACTTTAACAATATAGTAAAGTTTCATGGATATACTCACGTGTAAGGAAAGAAATTAGTGTTATCATTGTCCACGTATTTTTTTCATTCATTGAAATGAACACTTACATTGTCCTAGTTAGACTGTGCATGCATATGGATTTATGACAAAATCTAACGTGCAGAAGTTAATCTTAAAAATTACAGAACATACATAATTTGGAAAAAAATAGAGAAAATATCCAGAATCGAGTAATTATTAAAAAATGTAAGAAGTAAAGAAGATTTCCTTGTTCATAAAAGTAGGAATTTGTATGTAATATTCTGGAATGTTTGTAAAAATGATAAGGTTATATCGTTCAGAAAAAATGAAGATTGTTTGTCACTGTATTTAACATACGTGTTGTTTCTAATTCTCCGGAAACTAATTGAAAACAAAACATGAAAAAAGTAGCGTCACCGTGATAATCGAGTCTTCTCGAAGGCAATACATGAAAATGTACCTTTTCTCACCATCACACTCATCCTCATAATTTTCTACAATCTTCTTCTTATTTATCATAATCATCTCATCATCTTGAATTTACCTAATAAAAACCTTTACTACACATGCGTTGCATGAGTTTCGCGTGATTAGAATCGCGGAAAATTCAATGATCACTATTAAATAGAATAATTATGAAGTAAATTGTACTTAATAATGCAACGGTTAGACGTTAATTGGGATAATGTTAAATCCAATTTCTATTCTTTTTTACTTAGATTATACTTTCATAATCATGAACAGAAATTTTTGTTTGCAATTTCTACACGAAACTACGAAAATTGGAATAGAGAAAACGATCTTTGCTTCCTAGAAATTTAATGTCTATCACCGTTTTGCTCTCTACACAAATACTGGGAGCTTACGTAAGATCGACTGTAATACAATATCGAACGAATTATCTCGCAATTTCCTTCTAACTGCGCTTACAGTTGTAACAGTCACTTTTGCTTTCTACTAGGATTTGCTCTTCCTACTTTACATATTTCGATACTTTTCAATCTATTTCCGATATACAGACTCAATATAACGTAAAACGGCAATACAACTGAAAGCTTTCTAACTCCTTCTAACACTACACAATTTGGAAGTTCCAAGTGTCATAAATAATTTTTTTTAGAAAAGATCCTAAAGAACAACTTAACTGTAATAACTTTGCGTTATCGTGTACATCTATTCAGCTGTTAAATTATCATTTTTGCAAAAGAATCACGGTCGATATGTATCGTCTAAATAAATAAGAAGTCACAAGATTCTTCTGAAAATTATATAGTATACCATTGTATAGTTGTATACAGGGTGGTTGGTAACTGGTGGTACAAGCGGAAAGGGGGTGATTCCACGCGAAAAAGAAGTCGAAAATATAGAATAAAATTTTTTCGTTTGAGGCTTTGTTTTCGAGAAAATCGACTTTGAATTTTCGCTCGGTGCGCGTGCGGTACGTTATAACGGATTTCACTGTAGATCGTTGTCTCGATGGAAAAATTAAAAAAAAAAATTAAAAAAGAAATTTTTATTCTATATTTTCGACTTCTTTTTTCGCGTAAAATCACCCTCTTTCCGCTTGTACCACCAGTTTCCAACCACCCTGTATAACGTACATGTTGTCAGTGCTATCGTTATTGCAATGATAATATCTGTATCAGCACTGCTTCCAATAATAATATTGTAACAGTAGTCGAGAAACTAGTACATATCGATATCTCTGTTTGGATTGAGTAAGACTGGATTGAAAAATAGCAATATCATATCTCTAATATCTAGATATACTACTGAAAGAAAGTAATCACTAATGTTACCAATATTAATCGAATAATTAGTTTCTTAACAATTGAACATTCAGAGAAATCTATATATATGTTGTATTTGACGATAGAAACGCAAGAAATGATGATAAAGAAATAATTATTTTCAAAATGATACATTTCAAATTCTTCGTTATTTTACTATCAAAGGATTAATCGCTTGATGCACATATTCCTAATATACAGTGGCATAGAGTGTCCTTAATTTTTCTAATTATTTTAACCATCGATCTTTACACATACAAGATACTTATTTTATGCAATAAAAGATCTATATACATCGTACCTGGTAAAAGATAAGAATCTTATATATGTGATGAGAGATTTTTCTCAGGTAGTTTCAAAATAATAAGAGAATAATTACTCCATCCTAATCTGTTCGGAATAGTCAATTCTGAAAAGTTTAATCATTTCCATTAATAAACCGAGAAAGAATGTGTGCGTTAAAAAGTTAAACTCTGGAATTCACTACTGGAAGAAACCGAAAACTTGTGTAAAAACTCTTGGAAAAATGGAAAAGGCGTCTCGACACTGCCGATAATAACCGACCTCTTAACACAAGAGCTGTTAATTATACGCTCTGCTCGATGGCGCATCATCGCGTTATGCAACGATGAAATGAAAATAAAAAATTTTTTTGTTAACAATACAGCAAAGACAAGCCGCGTAACGAATAACTCGACTAGACGGACAGCAGAGAATTTTAGCAATTTATTCGGACCCGCCACCGCTTCTATTCGCGTACAAAAACATTGTTCGAGAAGCACCGCGGAAGTCATTCGAGATAAATATCGCGTTGCCGTAGCAAATAATTTGTCACGAGCGTTTTGTATTCGAAAAACACCGGTCGACGTTTATCGCATGCAATTTTCGTGGACGAAAATTGCGATGCGCTCAACGTCTCGCATGTAACGGAAGTTCGTTCCCCGCAAATTCGTGGAAAAACGAAGAGATCAACGTAAAAGAGGCGTTGATGTTTCTTTATTGCACTATAAAGTTAATTTTCGCGTAGGAACACGGAAGCCGATCTTTTGTTACGGCGAGCTTCATGTTAATGAAGGATATATACACCTACGCATACACATACACAGCTTCCGGTGTTTTCTATATGGTTTTGGAATGGAAGGATAAACGGTGAAGAAACTGAATACTGATTCTTGCTAAATGAATTGATAAATCGAGTATGAAATATAACGTGCGTACAAATACATAAACTTCTTAGAATCCAAACTGATAGACTTCGCCTTTTGTACATGTCTCGATTATTAGTCATACATGTACAAATTATCGGTAGCAGTAGATTTTCTTACATAATCGGAACAGGTCTCGTAATAAAACAAAAAATGAAATTTAACAAGGAAATCTTATGTATAAACCACAAATTATCCGATTATCCTATTATAAAACCAGAGTCTATAACTATCAATGTGTTACTTGTCGATTCACGAATATTATTAGTTAGTACGTTATTGCAAGAAAGTCCAGGACTCTCTTAATACGATATACTTTTATTGCAAGGAAGAACTAATCATAATTAATTCCAAATTTTTATCAGTTAAAATTATCTTCTAATTCGACATCAGTCAGACGGAGATATATTATATGTATTATATGAAATATATTATATGTAAACTTACTCCAGTAACGTTCTCAACAATTTTAGTTTCTCAACTAATTAATTTCTGTACAAAACTGCATTTCACTTCAGCATAAATTTTTTGCTAACATATCCACTTGTACTCGTTAGATCTTTCTTAGACGTCATTCAGTAATTGTGAAGAATCAATAAATAGCTTGTAAGTGGCAATTACTTGCTAATGAACTGCTTCTTTCAATAAATTCAGTAACCAATAGTTACTAAACTTTCCAAGATGAATATGACGGATGAATATGAAATATGCCATACAATGAAATAAAATACAATATATATATATACGTATTTGTTTGTATATTTGCTTTAAAAAACAATTTAAATATGTAAAATAAATAACAGGTGATTAAAAACTTTCTAAAGGTGAAACAAAGCTCTATTGAGGTTTCGCTTGAATTACAAATTTTCTAGAAAAATATGCATTTCCATACATATTTGCGGTTTACTGATAATGTTGCACTATGAGGAAGTTATCGTTGGAATTGAATCCAATAAGGAAGTTACGTGAGTTAAATATGATGAGGGGCGGGTAAAAAGTGAATCAATTGCGTAGATAGAATATTAATTCTAAATAGAATGAATGAGAATTGATTGAGAAGTTCTATGATATTTTAATTTCACGGACTAACCCTTTATAACTCCAATTTAGAGATCACACATCTATATACACGCATTTTATCAATTTTATTTCACTTGCTTCGTTGATAGACCCTTATATACCAACTTTAGATAATTCGTTAACAAAATTTTGTTAGGTAACAAAATAAAGTAAATTTTATTTCTGAATTCCAGATTAAAGTACAAATTTGCATGAATTATAATTTTTCTTTGCCGTACGTAACCAAATCCTGGTTATAATCTAATTATAATATGCATAAAGAAAAGAGCAAAATTAGAACTTGAATATAATGTGTGTATATGTGTATATATCTGTCTAACATATTACAAACATAATACTGTAAAGCAATCGGTGAAAGATAGATTATAAAGCGGAGGCGTGTTTAGAGATTAAAATGCACAAAGTGGCGGATTAGTAAAATAAACGTAGTCATAAATGTGAGTATTAAATAATCAAATGGTTTACACAATATTTTAAAATATGTAACGCTTCAAACAGTAGACCCTGAACTATTTCCAAACATACCTGCAACTGCTTCAGCGATTTGTTTAATTAACAGCTTAACATATTCACGATAACATCAGATGTGTTTGCTTACTCTGAATTATACGCAAATATTGAACTTCGTAATAACTTCGAAGCGTGATTAAGTTCCTTCGTTCCATCGAGTATTATGATGTAACGAATTTGGAAATCAATTTTCGTTGTCCTTAACACAGCTTAGGGAATCGCATTAAAAAATGGCTAAGAGCAACGATACTTATCACGTTCAGTTCGATGAAAATGCGACGCATTTGAAAATATATAATTTACATCGTGAAGCTACATTTCCCATCTATAAAGTCGATAACTTCTTTCACCTTATAACTCACAATGACTTACGATAGGTAACTGAATAGATAATTGTGAAGATTATCGTCGAATTGTATACCACTTTTGTGTCATTCAAACCTATCGAACACAATACATTATATAAAAATATTGCATTTTCAATGTATCTTTATAATTGTTTTCCTTTTTTTAACAAAATTCCAAAAACTAGTTTATATCCTTTTAAACAGAAATATATCTAAATTATTTACACAATCTATTTCATAAAATACGTACTTCTCTCTTTTCCTCCCTGTCCCTCCCCCCACCTCCCTCCTATGAAATATTGATTTTTTGGACTTTCAAATATCACTTTGCTAGTGAGACCTTTCGAATTTGAGCGTACACTCACAAATTTAATAAGTTTCTTTTAAATATCTAGCTCAAGTAAGATTAAAACGCAAATGCATTTCAAATACATTTGCGTTTAAAAACAGCTGAACGTATTAACGAAATCCAGTATCTTACAAACACTTAACAATACGTAATGAATAACATATTCGTGACCTGTAATTTCGCTGACTAACTCAGGAAAGTTACAAAATGAAAATTAAGCAAAGTTTTTTCTAATGTATCTTATATAAGCTATAATGTTTAATATTATTAATAATTTAATAATAATAAAAAAATCATAAGAATTTTATTTAATATAATCTAATATATTTAATCTATAAGCTTTATATCAAATGTCGTCCTACAGTCACTGATAATTAGCCGGCTTGACCTTACTTTAACTGTGAAAATATACAACAATAGGAAATTACAGGCGATTTTAAGAATTCACGGTTGAACTGTAATTTCGCAACATATAGGTAAAAATACATGTGAGCTGACGAATCGTTTTCAATATATGAGCATAACAAATTATTGTATATACATGTGTGACAAAAACGTTTTGTAAATAAATATATATCCCTTTATTTAAAAAATAGACGAAAAATATAGAAATACTTAATATATTGCTCGATCACTATTAATGACATTTTTCATTCTTTTCACCAGATTTTTCCAGATATATTTACTTATTTATATAAAAAGTTCTTTAAGAAGTCTTTACGAAGACTTAAAGCAAGCAGAAATTATCTACATAAGTCTAGATAGACATCAAAAAGCAAAAAGAATTGAGGTGCGTGCAAGAGAGCGTGTAAATACTTTACAATAACTAGGCAAAATAATGAATTACTATGCATTGTTTATGTATCCTTAAGCGGCTTGACGCGTCTTTACTTATATCGTTAAGCGTATAGACGATGCAATATGCTATGGAACACGCTATGTATGCATGGTAATCCGATGATGCAATTTTTTTCAAAATTACCAGCACGCAGAATTACGCATATACGCGCGCGTTTATCTGTCTCGATCGCATAGCGTAACTCGAACTATAAAACTAATTTACATTTCATATATGCGTCGAGACAATGAACAGATAGTTCATCGATACTTGGAATCGAATCGTTTAATTAGCTTTAATTATATGTTTTCTCTTCCTTGACCGTTTTCCATTCGAATGTTAGTTCTCTATTTAGCAAAAATCAACTGATTTAAAGCTCGATCAGGAATGAAAAATTACAATACTATACGACGACAGGATATACAATACGTGTACATGCCTGTGTCAACACCACTTGGTCATAAGTTACATGGTAAACATGGCAAAAAGAAAAATGAATATTACTGATAAGCGTGTTATCACTTCTACTTAACTGACTTTGGTTTTCATTCGTATCTCTAATACGAAACATTCACATTCGCAATTAGCTTTGGTCTAATCCGTACTTAGGATATTGGATCCTCCAATAAACGGGAAATTATATAAATAGGTACGTACGTGTTTTTTCATCTATGTAAGTACTTGAATGAAAACGGAAGCCAGAAGAAACAAGTGAGTGTCGTAGAAGAACCATTATTCTCGTCATAGTGGAGGCGTTAAATATTACACAATTTCTGAGAGCAAGATGTTATTACAACTGTTGCAAGTGGCTGCAAAATAGATAACTAACGTGATGTGGAATTATTTATTAATCGTTCTACGACAATGGTTTTGTGAATAACGTACTTCTGATATGACAAGATAAGTCAAGGCTTGTAGAGAACTTCAAAGATAACATCTTATGAAATTTGAATACAATAGAAAAACATCTAAGGAAAATAAGAAAAAAATAGAGGGAAAATATTGCAATTATGTTAGAAGAACACGATAAATCATATTTACCGATTTTCACGCCAAACAATCTTAACATCGGACATATTGTCGAACAATCATATATGTATTATGAAAATTTGTTTATTACAAAATAATATCAAATTATTCTGTAACGTGTTTGATCGTAAGATAACAGAGATAGGAATTTGTAAGCGGAAAAATAATCTCTGATATATCTAATATCGAAGTACTTCACTTTAACCATCTAGTTACGTAAAGATTAAAACATTTTTCACACAAATAATATCAATTAAATAAATACAAAATGATAATGTAATTGGCTAATTGTAAAAAACAAAAAAATAGATAATACAGCTAAAAGCAAAATCTACCATTAACTTTTCTAATTAGAATATTATTTAATCAATTAACAAAGTCCTTTAGTCGGAAAATTCTATAATCGCGAATTTCAAAATTAATGACAAATCATTCGTTCTTCTAAACACAAATATACCATTATTTATTTTATTAGACATTCAACGACATATTAAAATATAGGTCATTCATAAGTAAAGAAATCATTATGTCCCGATTAATAAGTTAATTTTTATATGCAATAAAATATATTAGGTGGAGCATTAAATCCATTCACGATTTGTTGAAAGAACAACATCTCTTAAATCATAATACTTCTTAAATCATAATACTTCTTAAAATCAACATAACTTATTTATCGCTATAAGTTTATTTTTTTCATAAAAAAAATTCATAATATTTTTCGAAATGCAAACAGTAGTGGAAGGCGAGTGAAGTTATTATCCCAACACAATAATAGTTTTCTTTAAACTCAAGCAAAAGCAGGTTTCAATATCTACAAGACAACAATGAGAACCATCAAATATTCTTTCAGATAAATAATGTTCCCGTCAGTCGAGCCATTGTCAGTTCAAAAGTTGGACGTGCTTTTAAGACAAAGTCTTGGTAATGATCTTCAAATAAAGCATATTGAATGGAAGCCTCTAACCGCGCCAGGCGAGAACTTTGGAAGCGTTATGCTGGCCATCATTGTCACCTTAACGCGGTCAAGCAACAAAACGGAAACTCTTCATCTGGTCGCGAAACTTCCACCCACTTCCGCCTATCTATTGGGCTTGTTCAACAGTCCAGTGACATTCAGGAAGGAGCTACAATTCTACAGCGTGATGGTGAAGGAATTCACAAACCTTCAAATAGAAAGTGATGTCAACGAGAAGGACGCAAGAGATCTGGTACCAAAGTTCTTTGGGGGAAGACTAGGTTTGAAAAATCCAGAACAATTTGATGAACAAGCTGCTATCATTTTGGAGAACCTGAAACTCAGTGGCTACGATACGGGCGATCGAATCTTTGGATTGGATAAGAAGCACACAGAATTTGCAATCGAATCTCTAGCCAAGTTACACGCTCTCGCTATTGCTTTAAAGATGAAAAAACCTCAGTTATATGAAAGAATAGCGGCAGAAGTATTTTTAGAAGTTTCAAATGAAATCACAGAAAAGTGTGTTAAGGACATGTTTGGGAAAAGCAAATCGGATTTAGAGAGCATGGAGGAAATTAGACCGTATTTAGATCGAGTTAATAAGACCATAGAGTACGATCTTGAGGCAAAAAAAAATCTTAAGAAACCGGAAGAACCTTGGGCAACATTTGTTCACAGTGACTTTTGGGTGAACAATATGATGTTCCGACACGATGAAAAAGGAGAGTTAGTCGATATGAAGATCGTAGATTTTCAATTATCCGCATATGATTACGGTGCGAAAGATCTGATCTTCTTTCTCGTGTCGAGCGCGAACGAAGACATTCTGGATAACAAACTGGACCATATGTTTGACTTGTATTATTCTTGTTTCATTAAAATGTTAAAGACGCTAAAAGTAGACACGGAGAAATTTTCCAAGCAGAAGTTCGACGAAATTCTGAATCGTTGTGGGCCTGCAAAATTCAATCAATGTATCATGATGGCTCAAGTGATTCAGGCACCTAAGAAAAGTACCTCAGAGTCAGAGAACGTGGAGGGTAGCAATGTTTTCATAGATATATCTGATAATGTAATATATAAACGAAAATTATTGCACATTGTGACTCTATTCGACAAAAGGGGATGGCTGATATGTTGATATATGATAGGGGAGAGGGGAATGTTGATATATGATGTACTATTAAGATGTATATGATAAATTGTTTATAATATATAAAAGTGTATATAGAATTTTAAAGATGTTAGAGACTTTTACAATTTAAGAATTTAGTCTTAAGAAGACACCAAATATGTTCATAAGGGCTCTAATATTATTAAGCCTTAAAAATTAACTAGTTGTTTAAAAGTCAAATTCGAAGTAAGTGTTTACTTTATAAAACTGATTCTGTAATATTATTGTAGATACCTGCATCATGTTATTTTGCACGTAGATATACTTGTTTTTCAAAATAAAAATTCTATTTTATTACATGAAAATAATACGAATAAAATTTATCCAATCTATTAGGCCCCATGAATAATGAAACAATATTCTGAAGTTCATTATCGTTCGTTTCTTCTAATTTTCTAATTTATATTGTAATTATTATTGTATCGTAATTCTGTGAAGTTTCTAAAGGTTTCTAAAGGCGAATCGAGCAAAATCTTATTTCGTTTTGCATCGATATGCCCCTGCGGAACCCGATATAATGACACATGTTTTATGTAACATGACATTGAAACACATCAATCGAAAGTAATTTTCTCGATTAATCAAGTTAACTATCTTGAAACAATGATACCAATACCATCATTTCTCGTTGATTGCAAGTGACATTTATGTAAATCATGTTTGTTAATAAAATAAAAAAATGAAATATAAACAGCAAGCAATAATTCAGAACATATTCGTTGACAGCGCAAAAATAATAAAAACGGCAAACAGTAACTGAAAATACATTCATTTATAACTTAAAAAATAAAAATTTTCTGTTTTGAATTCCGAGGAGTATGTTAACAAGATAATATTTATGCAGATTATTTCGTTTACGTAAGATGTGCAGACTTTTATGTTTTTCAAAATATTCCAAAATTGTTTGTATAGGTGACTCTAGAATTATTCTACGAAACAGGAGGAGAAAAGTACTCACTTCTAACAGATCCGCCACCGTGTCAGGTAGGTTGAACTCCCTCACAACACGTAGTCGCACTTGCCTATTAATTTCGTGTCGCGATGAGAGCGGCAAACTGATAGCCCTCTGACAACTGGGAGACTGCCTCAATTTCTGCTCTCGCTTCAGCATAGCTGCCAAGGTCGCGGAATCTGGAACTTAAATAGAACACATAACAAATACCCATTCTCGTTTTGGAAGAGTGAATTTCTCCATATCTTGTCAAAACACAATAGAACTGTCAAACAGTTTGATAAGAAAATAGCGATCAAAATACCTGGAAACGCCGCGGCGAGAACATCCACCCCGGCTGTACCCATTGGTCTTGGTTTCTCATCAACCATGTACAAGGCATCGGGAATATCGGCCACATACCGTGGCCTTCGCAATCTCACTAAATCTGCTTCTTGGACCATTTGTTCCTCAACTAAAGACTGTAAAAAGATTTGTTTACCTTAGATTAGAATATATCAGCACAAACTAATTATATTGTATCTTGATAATTATTGAAAGATATATAATAATCTGTAACAGAAGAACTGATGATAAATGATTTGAATAAATCATTTCAGTTTAATTTTAAAAGATATTTCTGTACATTGATTCATGTTATAATGTAGAAATTTTCAAATCAACAATTTTGTTTACAATGCTCTATATAATAATTAATAAGCACCGCTCTCAAAGTATCTTAATGGATTTAAATGATAATATTAGTAAACAACGTTGTCATCGATATAAAATAATTTTCATCATAACTAATCTTGCAAAATATAAATAAGCTTGTTTTTATTTGATACATTTGTTTTAGCAATGAGATTAATTTTCTTATAATTTCTTATTAAAAAACTCATTTCTTTTTTAAATAAAAATTACGTTTACCTTTATTTCCTCGTAATAAGGCATGAACAGGCGTGGCCTTACAAAAAATCCATTTTTCTTCCCTCCTCTTATCCATGCATTCATTCGTAAATTCTCCCTCTCATCTCCTATCATATGACTCGGTGGAGTTGAAACTAATCCTCTTCTAATAGCCTAAACACATAAAAATTTCATTGAGCATCATATGAAGATGGGTATCTATATTTGAGCGAGTTTAATGTTTCGTACTTGAGCCAGCGCTTCACTATTTGGGGGTAATATATGATCCATTCTGACAAGTGGTAGAAGCTCGCTAAGTATCTCTCGCAACTCTATATCGCTTAAATCCCTTTTCTTCAACCCCTTTCTTGTCACAGAGTGCACCGTATGACTGAGCAAATTTGGTTCCCGATCTTCCATACGACGCACCAATTCTTGTTCCCCCCACTTGAGTACCGCCTGCAGTATTTCAAGTTCGCTCGCTTGCAAGAAATGACTTTGCAAAACGTTCGCCAAATGTACGTGGTCTAATTGATGGAGAATAGAAGAAGAAGCGACTGGCTGGAATTCCTCTCTTAAATAATGCAAGGCTTGTCTATGTACCCATGCCGATCCGTGTGGTTGACTACCCCACCTGTAAAAATATAATTGAAAATCGATAAGAACAATGAATTCTTGAAAGATGCATTTCATTTAATAATGTTTCAAATTATGGGAAACTCACTTCAAGACAGTTGGGAGCGATTCCAATGTAAGGTATTCTAAAATAAGATCTTCACAACCCTGTGACAATATATCTAGTTCCAAAAATCTGCCGATTTGGTACAATTCCATCGCTTCTTCTAAGGGACTTGGTCGAACACGTCCAGTATGAGTAAGAGCCTGAACCTGAGAACAAACATATGGACAAGGATAATTTACAATCAAACGATAAATTACCTTTCTTGAAATTACTAATAGAATTTTCTTATTTAAATAATAAATAAAGTACTTAAAAATCAGCAATAAATATTCATATAGACGTAAGCTACATTTGATCTTGGATCAAAAAATTAGTTAAGGTATATTTATGGAAATAATATAATTACCTCTCCAAGACTACCAGCGCTGTTCCCGCAACCATTACCTCTCATAATTAACGATAAATCAACTGTATCTAAATACACTGCATGTAACAATACTCTGGCGTATCGTTTGGGTATTACACTCTCATCCAAAACTATTCTAGTGGGTATATGAAGCGCTCTTTCTGTGTGATCTTCCCCAGATCTAGTCCGTCTTTGTATTAAGTTTCTGAAGAACGGGGATCTCGCAGAAAGTATCGCTTTATGACATGGCAGTTCTAACTTTGGCCGGAATCCATATTCTGAACTTCCACTATCTGGTCTCTGGTAATCACTGTCCGATGTGAACACTAACGCAGCGTCCGCGTAATCACCGGTGTCCAGCAGGTATCTGAGATCGTGTTCCAGCGGATTCGGTGTGCCGAATTCTTCGCTCAGTCGTCGCAAGAGATTCGCCTCCAGAGCTGCATCGTGTGGACAAATATCACCAGTGTAGAGATATCGCAATAATGCTGAAAACATTTGTACTTCGAGATTCGGTGTTCTCAGCTCCAAACATATTCTAGCACCGTATCCTACGATTTAACAAAATTAAAATTAATTTGTTTAATTCAATCATCAAGCGATTAACGCGTCCACTGCAGTACTGATATAGAGTATAAATTAAAACATACAGAGTTCGGAAATAATCTTGCATAATAATTCATATAAATCATATACGAAAGTTACAAATGAAAAACATAATAAGGCACATTTCCCGTCTTTTATAAAAGAGCGATTTTAAAATACAATATGTTGATAACTAATTCCACATTAAAACTACCTTTCCATTTGATTTTAGGATTAAATGCATTTTTGTTATCTTCTTGAGCATTTAAAAAATTATAATTACTTTGTATATGTATATATATGCAGAATGATAACCAAGCTAAAGTAACATGATTAAACTAATATTAGTCGTCTTTTAAAAATCATCATGGATGAACCATCTGTTTTCAAAATCTATCAAGTTGTCCTTTTCTTCTACTATTTTATACTCAAATAAATTCTTTTAGTTGCTAAACGACATAAAAATAAAAAGATCAAGAAAAATGATCTTATCAATGTAGTATCGTGAAATAACCGTGTAAAAATCGGTGAACTTGTAAGGAGTACGAACTACAGTGCAAAAGAGAAAGTTCTGACGAGCCAGAAGGGATGGGAAATCCCCATAAGTCATCGAGCCCAACGACATGTCCGCGGCCCTTTCAAAAAAAGGAGTACCTGGGAAGGCGAACGTGACCATATTTGCTCATGGACAACTGTAAAAACGTGCGTGTGGTGGGAGTACGGAAACCGTTAAAAAGGGACGCTTTAGTGGAAAAAATTGTTATTATCATTGATTGACATGAGTTGTGAGTTGTCATTAGTGGTTACGAGTTGATTAGTTGTATTGATTTAGTTACTCTAGTTGTAATACATTAATTTATTAGGAAAGTTTTAGTTAAATAATTATAATTTTCTGTTTTATCATTTGTAAATATATATATAAGATCAAATCAGGAAATTAGAGAAAAGGCACTGAAAAGAGCAGTAAGGTATGAGGAGAAAGCCTTGGAATCGAAAAAGGAATTAGTGAAGGAATGTATAAAGGAGAGAGAAAGGAATTGGGGAAAGGGCCAGGAAGGTAAAAGAGCAAGGAAAAGAAAGATGAGGCTAGAGGAGGCGAGGGAGGGAAGGACTCAAGGAGAGGCAGGAGATAGACAAGAAAGGATGACAGCGAACCAGATCATAGAAGAAAGAAGGAAAAGAGAAACAGAGGAGAGGGAGAAAAGAATAAGGGAATCTAAATACAACAGATACTACAGAAACATAGCGAAAGAAGGACTACCAAAGTACCTAGAAGGAAAGATGAAATGGAAGGACAGAAGTATGGTAGCAAGATTTAGATGTGGTAACGAAACCAGGGCAAGAGAACACTGGAAAGAGGAGGGAGAAAGAGGATGCAGATTATGCAAAAAAGAAGAGGAGGACCTGAGGCACATAGTAGAGAAATGCAAGATTACAGGAGGAGCAAGGAACATAGGGAAAGTGCTGAAGGAGACTGGAGAAGGACTGGCAGAACTGAAAGCAATAATAGTGAAGAGAAGAGCAGCAGAAGAGGGGGAGGAACGACAGGGAGGGAGCATAGCAAGGAAGCAAAAGCCAAAGAAGGATAAGCGTTATAAGATATAAGTAAAGGCAATATAAGAGATGTAATCTGGAAGTCGTCCAAAGCCGAAAGGCACGGACTAAGATTAATAAAAAAAAAAAAATATATATATATATATATAAGATAAAATCACTATAATTTCTGGGGACTCAAACCAAGATTGAACAAAACAGAAAACTATAATTATTTAGACAACAAAGCGTCCCTTTTAACGGTTTTCGTACTCCCACCACACACGCGTTTTTACAGTCTATGACCAAATACAGTCACGTTCGCCTTTCCAGATACCCCCTTTTCCGAAAAGGGCATGGACTTGTCGCTAAGCCCGATGACCCATGAGGATTTCCTATCCCTTCTAGCCCATCAGCACTTTCACTTTTATCTGCACTATACTTCGCAATCCTTACAGGTTCATCGAGTTTTACATGATTATTTCATAATACTATATCATATTTTTCACATGTTATATTCATATATAAAATCTTACGTTATAAAGATAGGATTTATATAAAAATGACTTGCTAAGATACAGATAGTAAGTGATAGAAGGCTAACAAGCAGTGAACGTGTTAAACTATTCCAAAGAGAAGAAAAATTATATACCCGGGC